TGTATGCACACACATATGCTCAGACACATTTGTCTTTGTTTTTAAATTGCAGGAAACATAAAGGTATAAAACTGGAGTCAGAGACTCCTGTTGCTGTAAAACACACACACACATACAAACAAAATCGTAGAAGCTTTCTTCTGGGATCCCAGGATGAGAAAGATTGCCTCTAAATCAATAACTCAATAACTTTTGCTTTTAGGTTTTATGTTCCCTTAGTTAAATAGAAGAATCTGGCTCACTGAAAAAGACTAAGTTTTTCCCTGCCTTAGTCTTTTATGGAGAGTCTGGTTTTTCTTCTAATAGAATAATAATGGGGCCCACTCTCCTGGAGACTGGTTGGCCTAGAAGTCTGACCTTCCATTTCTAAAAGCTGTTAGCTCCTAAAACCTGTCAACTTAGTTAATTGGGAATTGATAGAGCATTTTGTTCATTCTCTGGACCTGCCAGTTTGCTCTTACTGGCACACACTTATTGGCAAATAACATTTGAGCCACAAAAGCACACTTTGCCCTTGAGCTTCCTCTGGAACCAAGGCATGTTTGTGTTTGTCTTCCTGCCAGTGCAGATTTCCTGAGCACTGGCTCTTATATTTCAGTTGGAATTTGACATTCTGCTGCTTCAGGTACTGATCCAGGGAGTTCAGGCCCCACTTACTATTCAGGTCCACACACCACTTCCAAGCAAAGACTTGTTATCCCTAGATTTATTCTACATGAACAGTTTGAAAATATTGATTGAGCCCCCACTTTGTGCTAAATGCTCTACTTGGCACTAGAGCCACTACAATGAATAAGACCCATTCCCTACCTTCAAAGAGATCATGTCTGGTGAAGCAGACACACATGTAAATGGGCCTTCATGGTTTTACATGATGGTATACAAGGGGTGCTATGAAAATGGTGACCAGGGAGTCCTAATAGCTCTTGGGGATCAGAGGTGGTTATTAAGAAACATTTATGCTTAGTACTGAAGGACCCAGGATTTTGCAGCTTATTGATATTACTTATAACTTCTGTATAATTAGGATTGTATTTTTATATTCTCATTGAATAATTAATAAAATATAGGTTTGAAAACATTCAGGCATTCAGTAAGTACTGCCTAACTTGTTTTTTTAAGAGGTAACTTGTAAAATCTATATGTGTTAAATGCTTTTCCCTTGCCTAGTCCTATCTTAACCATTCTAAGGGGGCAGTGAGGGGCTGATACAGATGGAATAAAAGATATAGGTCATGGTCTCTGAAAGTTCACAGTCTAGTTGAGAAGAACAGATTTATCTATCTGAAATAGAGAGTAGCAGGAAATAGTCAATGACCAGATGTAAGATGCATGCTTTCCTGCCACTAGCAGCACACATCCATCCTTTCAGTTTTCCTGCAGGGGAACCACTATCCCAGCTTCAACAAGGAGTTTGATTTGGGCACAGAACCAGGGGAAAGAGACCTGCTTTGCCTTCATTACCCCACTGGAAATATCCCTTGTCTTCTTTCTCCAGTTTATTGAGTGAACACATTTGCTGCCTAGATGACTTCAGGGAGGATTTTAGGTATTCCTGGTCATATCAGTCTTGAAATATTCCCCCTTGCCCTTCATCTAGTATATTTCCTTTTCTTTTTCCAGTATATTCTCACTTATGGATATAAAGATAAATTGAATTCTCATTTGATATTAACTCTGCCTTCAGTTATTCTCAACTTTTCTTTAGGCAACTTTCAACCTAACCAGAAGGAAAGCCTTCAAAACTAAGACACTGAATTATCCCCCTGGTATACTGTAAACTCTTTTAAAGCCATAACTAAATTGTAAACTCTTTAAGGCTATGTCTTACACTTTTTTATATCTAACACAGTGCTGAGTACATAGTAAGAACTTAATCTATTTTTTCTTGATTTTTTTCTACAAAAAAACAAAGCTTATAGGAAGAGAGATTGACTCTTTTTGTTGGACTAATGAACTCGCTGTTCATGCTCAGCATAGAGTGGGGAGCAACTTCTTTGAGTTGAAGCTTCATGATGATCTGTCTAGTTATTTACACCTTTTTCAGAACATCACATTTCCATACACATTTAAAATGGACTATACACATTTAAAACACATTTGGTTATTCCTTATTTTGGATCATTTGTATTGCTCATTCTGTTAGAAATTGTTGAGTATTACTCCTGGGAAATCTTTAGAAATAGGCAGAAAGAAAACTTAAGGAACTTATTGCAAGAATGTTTTTAGCATTTCTCATTCAGCTCTGGTTCACTGGACAGACACATTCAATACAGTTAATTTACACTAATTTTTTGAGGTGATAAATATTTATTCATCCACTAATAGTCATCTTTTCTGGAAACTTTAAAGATAGGATACTACTTTTAACCCAAAGTGATTTGAGGTAAGGGGGTAGAGGAACAGATTTTTGGAACACTGACTAGAGGAAACTGGATTTTTAGGGCTATCTAGCAAACATCATGAAGTTCCAATATCACAGGGAGTCCTAGAAAGGAGAATACAGGTCCATGTGACAACTGGGGAGAGGCCAGTGAGAAAATGAGGCCTTATTTTATTTACTAAGAGTTTCAACAGTAGACCATATTGGTGTGAACCATCCACAAATATTGCAAAAACAGAAAATAAGATTGACTTTCCTGAAAATTTTCCTTGTTTTCTCTCAAAAATGAGTTTTACCCCCACTGGGCCCTTACAACACTTTGTTTATATTTCCATTATACCTTCTCAAATAGCTACTTACTGACTTGTGCTCTACTACCTGTCAGAATGTGAGCCCTTTAAGGATAAAGACATTCATTAAAAAGTAGATTTAATTCATTACTTTTTTGAGATAAAAATAAAAACAAGAAAGATTGTTATTGATGGTTATATCATTAATGACTTTTGTTTCATTAGAGCTCAAGGAAAGTTCAGAAAAAAAGATAAAACAGTTTTGTAGGAAAATGAAAAATCTCTTCTCATGGAGCCAGAAAGAACACCATAATATTTAATCATAGATTAGAGATTTCTTCTTAATGTTAGTGTAGGGACCAGGGTTGCAGGAGTCTGGGTATATATGTAGGGGTCAAGAGAGGAGGTAGTAGCAGAGTTTGATGAAAGCTCGTTCCTGCTTTCAGTGGCTTGATCAGAATCATTGTAGTAATGGAAACTAGAATCAATATATCTTTATGAAGGAAGTAAGATATTCCATTAGTCTTAACTATAGCACTAATCACTGTCTGTCAAAAGAGTTAGAAAACATATCTAGGGAGAGTTGACTGCTTTCTGGTCTAAGTGACTATAGTCCTGTACCTTTAAGATTCGAAGTTGACATCATTTGAATTGGTTTTTAGATAAGAGTTTTTATTTGCAGCTAATTTTGTGAAACTGTTACATTTCATTTCATTTTAGTGTCTTGTGATGCTTTTGCTATTAATTTTTCCCAAAGTGATATAACAGAGAGAATAGAAATCCTGAAGAGAAGGAAAAGACGGAGAGAGTAGGGAGGGAGGAGGAGAGGAGAGCAAAAAGAGAGAGAGGGAGTGCCCAGCCAGTGTGGCTCAGTGGTTGAGCATCTACCTATGAACCAGGAGGTTGGTTGGTAGGGGCACATACCTGGGTTGTGGGCTCGATCCCCAGTGTGGGGCGTGCAGGGGGAGTGCACGGGATGGCCGATCAATGATTCTCTCTCATCATTGATGTTTCTATCTCTCTCTCCCTCCCTCTCTGAAATAAATAAAAATATATCTTTTAAAAAATAATTTAAAAAAAAAGAGAGGGAAAGAGAGAAAGAGATCTTTCAGGAGTGGAAAACATGTAGGCTAATGTGCAAGAATAAAAAAAACACAATGGAAAAATCACAGGTATTCAGAGAAACACTACTTTTTATTCAAAAGAAAAAAGAAAATACAGTTACATTTTAAACATATAAGTAAGCTGCACCTCAAATGTAATAGTATAAGGGATAGTTATCAAAAGATATAAAGCTGGTCATGATTTAGTGGAAGTCACTGAGCCAATGACTATTTGAACAGTAGCTTGGTATCCTTTTGAAAACAATATAGCTAATTCTCCAAAATAAGTGACTGTGGGGATGAGGGATTTTAAAAAATCTTTGTCATAACATTTACAAGAGATTTAAAAAATTTGGTGCTAATTATAGAAGTGCTACTTGTGACTTCCCTCAGGCCCAATGATACAGTCATAATGACCTCTACTTAATATGCATAAAGAATTAAGGATAAAAAGCATTCTGAAATGAGGGTTCTATCTACATTGGCCATTAATAAATTAGTCAATGTGATTTTTAGTATAATTGGAATGTAAAAGAGTTTGTGGCCAGTTCTAGTGGTGCTAATAGCATTGTTAGTGAAGAAAATGTGGTGTTATCATAAACTAAAGAATCTGATTTAGTTACTGGAATAAATGATAATTGTAATACTTAGTTTAAATATTATTAAGTTCAAACCATTCCTTTAATTTTCAATCCATACTTATTTTGTTAGCTAATTAATAAATTAGGATGGGAGCTTTCTGAGTTTGCCAATTACATGGTTGAAAGTTATAATTTCCATATCCATAAGAAATTGCTTCAGCACTAAAGCATTGTTTTTACTAGACATATCATTAGAAATAACTCTGTGGATATTCCATTGAATAATAGTATTTGGGAACTTTGTTCACCAGCAGTTGGCACTGCTTACCTCTCTTGCTTTTTCACTTTCATTCTTTGCTACAAATGATGGAAGCTAAGTTGCTTGAGTTATTCTCCTAAGACAAAAGGGGTGGGGTGTGTGTATGAGATGGGGCGGGGGGGGGGGGGGGGAGAGAGAGAGAGAGAGAGAGAGAGAGAGAGAGATATGACAGATAGGTTTGGCCTAAAACAAAACTGGGTAGTATGAAGTTGCTTTTTTTATTATTTGGTTTTGGCTTCTTCTTTATGAATCTTGCCCTATCCTCATCCATTAACTCTTCATCTCCCATTCAAGAAGGGCTTTAGTATTAAGTGTTAACAATTTTTATATACCTGTTGATGTAGGAGCCAATCTTAATGATCCCTTAGATTCATCTGTGTGCAGAGTGGAGATGGCAATATTTTCATATCTTTCCCGAGGTGTAAAGCACCAGCAGTGGTGAATAAGCACCACCAGGTCCTTTTGAAAATTTTTGTTGAGAAAACCATAAAAGAGAGGGTTTATGCATGTAGAAACCATAGCAACCAAGTGGCAAACCACAAATACCAGGTCATGGTGGCAGGTCATCAACACGTTATGATTCCAGTCAAAGATGACATTGAAGATATTCAAGGGCAACCAGCAGGCCCCAAATGTCACCACAATGGAGATCAACATTGTGTTGATCCTCTTGTTCTCATTGAGCCGGCTCTCATTTTCTCTCTTTCTGTCTACCTTTCCATTTCTCCTACGGAGGCAGATAATAATCTTCAGGTAGCAGATGAGGATGAAGCTCAGAGGGACACAATACTGGAGCATAAATAGGGAGGTAGTGAAGAGGAGCTGGTTCTTTTTGGAGGGCCAGTTCTCTACACAGGCCACCTGGTGAGTATTGAAGTCAGTGGATAGAGAGAGGTTGTGGAAAGGCTCATCAGTGAGGTGGTAGGACAGGAAGAAGGGAATAGACAACAGAAGGGAAAACAGCCAAATCAAGGTGATACCCCAGTAGGCATGAGATACATTGGGCTTCCAGCCACGGGGGTTCACAATCAGCTGATATCTTTCAACAGCAATTAACACAAGTGAGAATATGGATACAGAAATGGAGACACTCTGTACATAGGAAGTGAGTTTGCACATGGTATCTCCAAATATCCAGTGGTCCATCAGAGTATAGATGACAGTAAAAGGGATGCACATGACACATACCAAGATGTCAGAGAGAGAGAGATTGGCAATCAGTATGTTGGTGACATTCTGAGCTTCTCTCTGCTTCTTGAAGATGATAATGATGAGAGAGAGGTTTCCAGAAAGGCCCACAATTAAGACCACAGTGTAGGCTATGAGTAATAGGAACAAGGCTAGAGAAGGGGGTCGACAGGACTCAAAGTAGAAAAATGCAGAGTTGTTGCTCTTTATATTGGTTTTATTAGGTGCTGGATGGTTTAAAGAAAGTTCCATTTTGTCAGGGTTATGAGAAAGCTTTTCTAAGCTTACTTGTTTTGTGGGTGAATATTTTGACCACCAGTTCTTGGGAAGTACTTGCTCTGAGACTTCCAAGGAGTAATTAGTAGGATTTAATCTTCGTTGATCTTTGTCTGTGCTTGATGAAAATGCATGAATGACTTGAGTATGCTCTTAAAATCCTAAAAAATTAAACATAATGCAGAATATTAATGTAAGTTCTTAACAAACTGGACAGTTCTATAGGTGGGGCAGTTTCCCTGAGAGGACATAGGTAGATATCCAATGTCTCTCTATATCCTGGCCTTCCTTTCATCTCAGAGTGCTTTATTTTTGTTCTACCAGCATAGTTTTTAGAGCTGGTGAATAAGGATATGTGACAGCATCCTGTCAACTGTATAAGGCAGCCCAAATATACATTTCCATCCCTGTCACCTTCGGTCTTGTGTGTGTGTGCTGTGGAGGCCAGAAGCAATATGTTTGGAGTTGAGTTCCAGTTGGAGCATCACAACTTGGTGTCTGTATGACTTTGGCATAAATTAATTAGCCTTTCTGCTCAATTTTATTATCTGTAAAATGGGGATAAAAATGTCTGTTTGGTCATTATAAGGATTAAATGAAAACATGCAACTGAATTTGTTCCCTACATAGCGCATAGAGTAGGTGTTCAGTGTATGTGTGCTGAATAAAATTTGCCATCTCCCTTGCCCAGAGCTAGTCTATTCTGGGGGAGGGGGGGGCCTAGAGCCACAGATCATGCCTGGTATGGAATAGCATATGACTCCTCCTTTTGGTACTTCTTCCATTCTCTGGAGCTAAAGCCATACTCTGCACAAGCAGTTTCTAGGTACACAGCTCAGATTCTGGAGATCAAGGCAAAGGGGTAAGCTACTGCTTAGTGAGCTATTACTCAGAATTAATTTTATTTAGAAAGCATTCTCCAATTCTCCCTCCCTTCTTCTGACTTCTAGAGGAAAAGGGGCCTTGATCCTATGGTTGAGCATGGCTTAGGGTGGTCATATTCAGTGGAATTATTCATACCAGGATATACAACAGGCATGGTGATCCCCCTGCCATTCTTAGTGCTTAGATTTCTGGCCCAAAGAGGACACACTGAAAAGGGCAAAGGCAAAAAAAATACCCTTCATTTCGTTTTATTCTTTAGGAATTTGAGGAAAACATAAAGAACATTGATAAAGGAAGCTGAGCAATAGAAATGAAAGAGAACAGACTTTTATTTGCTGTTTGAAATTACCCTGGCTTGCTTTCACATTCTCTTTGAGTTCAAAGGCTTAGCAGATTCTTATTGCAAAGAAATAACCTTAAGAATACCTATGTCTGTCATGTTTTGAACAATAAGGAACACCATAAAAATACCACAGGTTAATAGAAACTGTTGATAAAGACAATATATTTTATAAAGAAAAACCCAAGGAAATTATCTGTGGCTCAGATGTGGTACAGTGGTAAGTAGAAATAGCAACATTTAAAATAAAAAACAGTGGTTTTTGAAATGAAGGTTTAGGGCTTGGATGATTCAGGGGTTCAGCAGCCCTAGAGTTTACAGGTATTGGCTGAAGGGGAATGTCAAGACAGATTTAAGTTCTTTATGACAGTCAGTGGACCAGAACTATAAATGAGAAATAGAAAGCTTTGATTGTTTATTAGAGACCTTCTACCAAGCAAGCTTCACTTGGAGGAAAAAAGGAAGGAAAAGGAAATAGGCAGTAACTACATGTACAGTTTGGTAGGCTAGAATGAGCATTAGACTTCTGTCAGTCCTGCTACTAACTAGCTGTTTTGATTTTCGGTCTCAATTTCTTCATCTTTCAAATGAAATTTTAAAAAATGTCCTCCCTCTTTTACACTTTGGTATAGGAACCAATGAAATAATATATTAAAAAATCCTATAAACTTAAACACTGTGCAAATTCAAGTGCTTACTAGTATTGTTATTATCCTTGTTGAGTCCTCCAGAGAGCCACAAGTGCTTTCATATCTGCAGTACTATTTATTTCTCCAACATCAGATTTGCTGGCAAGAGGTGGGATTGTGTTTTTTTAAAAATTATATTTAATCCATTTCGTAGACCGAAACCAAAGTACAGAAAGGTCCTAGAGCTTAGCTAAAGCCAAACAAAAGCAGCAGAGTCTTGTACTCTCTTCCCCCCACTCCAGCCCTTATTGTCTACAAGAAGGAAATGCTTCCTATGAATCCTGCAAAGGTAGGTCTGAAGAATAGTTTTCTCTTTACAGATATGGAAATTCATACAGTTTTGCAGAGCTCCTAGCAGATTGATAATAGAGATGGGAATAAACAGTGGGAACCCCTGTGTTGCCCATTCTTGTTGATCTGGGTTGTCTGGGCTGAGTGAATGGGAATCACTCATCTCCCTGTAACAGCAGGTCTGTAACTTTGTAGAGCCCCCTTACACTCTGTGTTGATTAGTAGCAAAGTACAAATTAACTCCCCAGTCTATAAATTGCTATAGAGCTCAGAAAAGTCAGAAGAGGGTCTAATGGGCCTCATGTGGGAAAGAATCAAAGGGGAGTGCTGGAGTTCACATTATCCAGTGCCTTCTACACAATACAGGGAACATTAACAAGAAACCTCAATATAGACTTTCAATGGCAATGTGGGATTTACACTTTACATAATATCTATTAAGTTATAATATTGAATACTGGCCTATCTGGAAGCAAAATAATGCCAAGCTTTGATTCATAAACAAAATGTTGGTATACATTTTTATTTTAGGAAAGTTCATCTTTGGTTTATTTGGTTGGAAATGACCAGGAATGTGAGATCTCAAGTTACCAATTGATATTTTGCCCAAAAATAAGTTTAGCAAATGGCAGAGGTTGGTAATCTTAAACTTTCAACTTCATTGTATCTAGCTTATGAGGTAGATGCCTTGAACTGGCTCCTGTATTTTTGTGTAAAAGTACAATATTACATTACACATTTTTTGGTACTCTTTGTTTCAAAGTTTCAAGATGACTGAAATAAGAGCATTACTCCACCATGTAAATAAATAGATGCATATTTATTTTTGTTTCTGAATGTCTTCTTGTTAGTGTGTGTCCTTTCCTATGTCTCTATTCCAATAACTCTTTTTGGGGGGAGTGTGTAGGGTTAGGGATAGGGTTCATGTGTCTGTCCTTTGGTTTCTCTGTGTTTTTTTCTTTACCTCTCATAGTTTTCTTCTCTTTCTACCTATCTGTTGTCTCATTTTCTTCTATTTCACCTTTTCCCTTAATTATCCATAACCCAGAAAAACTAAAGTATATGTTAGATTATGTATTATATTTCATTTGGTGCTGTGGTGTTTTGACCTGGAAAACTACAAGAAATTTCTGTATTTCTTGCTCTTAATATTAAAAACAAGTGAGTAGCCTGGCCGGTGTGGTTTGGTGGTTGAGCGTTGACCTATGAACCAGGAGGTCACAGTTTGATTCCAGTCAGGGCATATGTCCAGGTTGCGGGCTCAATCCCCAGTGTGGGGGTGCAGGAGGCAGCCAATGGATGATTCTCTCTCATCATTGATGTTTCTATCTCTCTCTTCCTTTCCCTTCCTCTCTGAAATCAATAAAAATATATTTAAAAAATAAAAGCAGGTGAGGAGGACATTTTCTATTTCTTTTATATTAAAAAATTCTTTATGTAACTTAAGGGAGTCTGTGGCTTTGTGCAAAGTGAAATTTTCTATATTCCCACTCCCCAAGTATGTATGTAAGGGTCCCAAAACACAACAAGACCACACTGCTAGCATCCCCCCCCCCCCACTAGAACTCTCTCTCCTTTTTTTAAACCTCTAAGAATATAGATTCTATGGTTGTGTTGATACAAATAACACCTCATGCTTATTTAGAGCTTAATGATTTTTTAAAAATGTTTTATTGTTGAAAGTATTACATATGTCTCCTTTTTCCCCCATTGCAGAGCTTAATGATTTTTTAAAATACTACCCCATTCATTAATTCACTCAAGAATTTAACTGCTGACAAGTTCTGTCTCACTTGATCTCTACAGTGGTCCTTTACTTTTGATAGGAATGATACTTTAATTCTATCTGGAGTAGACAACTAAGTCACTAGCAACTAAGACCCAGTGACTTTCTCATGGTTGTGTAGTTAGTAGCAGAGCCAGGACTTTTGCTTTTTAAACCACATGCAAAGTAATATTGCTAGTTTATGTCATCATTTCATATTAAAAAACAATTAAATTAATCTTTTGCCCCCCCATGAAAACAGATTGAACTAGAATCTCTGTAAAGATACATTTGAGAGCATTCCCTAGGAACAAAGGACTATATTAAGTAACCACAAGAAGCATCAAGAAACAAATGCCTACTCTCTCTCAGCCTTTTTAAAAGTGTAATTGGCCTAGTTATTCCACATCATGCAAACTCCTTATCCTAGTCAACTATTCACCCATTCCAAAAAATATAATTTCATGTTTATCTATTGCAGCAGTGTGTGCTGCACACTTGAGATTTGGGGATAACATTTGACTCATCTGTTCTTTTATTACATGTACTTTGATTTTCTCTGCTGGAGATAGTTTGTCCATTTTTCCTTGAATTTTTTCAATTGCCTGAGTCCACAAAAAGTGTTAGTGAAAAATGTACACATTTCATCTTCAAAAGTCTAATAGTTACTTTTAAAATCAAGCCAACACAGATTGTCTGAATTGGCTTTAATTTTCTGTGAAGGTTAATGACTGAGCTTATCATTATAGGGATGTTGAGGTTTTTAATTCATTAAATGTATCAAGAAAGAAGAACTAAATTCTGCCAATGGAAAAAAAAATACCAGGTTTTTAAGTCTACTTACAAACAGATAAACAGAAAGTAATTAAAACCCCATTGTGCTAATACTAGCATTTGACGATTTCTTTTAGAAATAGTGTATTCTAAAGATATGATATGGGGTTGTTTTTCAGATCACATAAACAAGAAGACAGCTGGTATAATTAGGCCTGAAAATAAGATAGTTCTAATTTTTAATAATCTTCACATATTTTATTTTATTATTTTAAATCACATATTTTTAA